TGTCTCTTTCTTCCTCTAGATGGAGTCTCTATGTTTGGCTCTTTTCGTCTATGCAGACGGTCAATTTAGCTTAAGATGGTCTCAAGATTGTCTTCATGCAGCTTCTTTCATGGCTAATTCTTCCTATGTTTGAAGCGCACATTCTGTCATAGTGCAGTGTCGTAGATCGAAGCTCTGTTTGAAGGAGTCTACCGGTCTAAAAAATAGCTAATAAGCAGCATTGTATGTTTCGTGTTTGGAGTGGGGCAAAAAATTGAGAGCGGGAAAGGAACTGAAAGGAGACCATTATACTGGAGAACATTTTCCTTTACTGTCAGGTTTCGTACCCGTAACCTTTAGAATGAAAATAAAAAACCGTAACCTCTAGCCCCCGAGTGCCCACCGTCTATCTTTATGGCACTGAGAGTTCCAAAAACTTAATTAGGAACGTCGACTTCAAGAGTCTGTCTAAGGTCAGAAGAACTGCTCCGACGATTTTGATAACAAAATATGAGGCACAGAATGACTTTTGCAGATGGTACTGCGACACCTTGAAAAATCACCTTGTTGCTTTGTGATAATTTAGAAGGCGTGCAATGATCCTGCCCGAGAAAGGTCCAACCCTGGCTGAGATCTATATTATATCTCACCAGAGCCCACTCCCGAGTCCCCCCCCCCCAGAAAAAAAAGAAAAAAAAAGATTCTTTTAACAGGAGTATCGATCTCAGGTCTCTTGCATCAGAGGGAGAATCATTTAACCTCTATACAACCGTCGTTTGTGTACAGTTCGTATCATAAAAAACTTTTATGTATAAATAGTTGAAAAGACATCAGTTGAAAATCTAAATTACTTTTATTGGCCTTTAATGGTTTGGCATGACTATTTCATTGGTATTTGCAATTGACATGGAAAACATACAGATACAATTTAGCAATTAATTTCAACAAAGCACTATAACATGAATTATTTGCAATATGTACACGTTTTTATTTAAGATAAATTGAGAAATTCACAATTGGCATTTGTAATATACAAATGTGTACTGTTTTTTAAACAAAACAAAAAATTAAATGTACAATAAAAATTAAAATGCTAAAAATGTCCGAAATTGTTCAGAAAAAGGCAGAACAGAGTCACTGAACAATTTTTAAAAACAAATAACCATTTTGATTAGCAGCTAATATAGCTTGACTTGTATACAGATTGAGTTGGGAACTCATAACTT